GTGTGGAAGAAGGAGGTACTTTGCGGTCTAAAAGGCGGAGGAGGCGGCGGTTGATCGTGAAATCTGATCGGAAAATCCGTCTGAAAAGGAAGCTGGAGAGAAGATTGGCAAGCTTACGCTTCCATGGAAGGGTGGGAGCGGAGGAAGATGGAGGTTGTGTGTGGCCGGTGGAAGTCATGGGAGAACCTTACTTTGTGGCCGCGCCTGTGCTTGCCTCAGTTTTAGTTTTAATTTAAATATATATATTTATTTATTTATTTATTTTCAGTAAGAAGCCGTGAGACGTCTCATACTTTCATAGACAAAATTTTTATTGGGTCAATCCAAATATTAGTCAATCCAATTAAATTTTATATTAAGCTTCAAGGCATGTAGCCCATGTCACAAATTTTATATTTTAATGGAGTGCTTCTTTATAAATAAATAATAAACATTATTTTTAAACATGAAAGTTCACATGAACGCTTGTTTTTTTCCTAATCGACGTTTTAAAAGAATTGAAAATTTTACGTTTAAATCTCACTTTAATTTATGAACTTTCCATGCTTATGGTTCTGTTCTAGTTTTTCAACTTTGCAGATGAAAACAAAAAACATAAAACTAATGACAACAATTAATATTATATTTATGAATAACACTTTTATACTGAGATACTAAGATCGAAAAAAAAAATCCGAGTATGGCTGGTGAGCTCGAAGGTACTTTTTTGATGCAGTAGAGACGACGAATTCTTACATGGTTCAAGAAAATCAAACGGTGTAGCTTGGAGCCCACCATGCCTTCAAGAACACCTCCCTGAATTTACCAAAGACCTTAGAGGGGAACCCAATCAAGGTCGCCGCCCCGAAACCTGAGTGGATATGCGACAAAGCGGAGCCTCCGGAGGTATGCCGGCTTGTGCTGTGGGGGTGGTGAAGGGAGGGTCCCAATTGGTAGGAAAAAACCACTCAATTGCTTGCTAAATCGAAGAGAGCAGAAGGCACCTCACCTCGAGATCTGATCTTTTTGGTTTGACATTGGCAAGTCGACTTCAACCAAAAAGTTCAGGATTTGTGTACTAGAAAAATGCCTAATATTTACAAAGACATTTGTAGCTAACCGCGTGGGGGATTTTGTTGTATAAATTCATTTCAGACAATTGATCCATCTCACTCTTTTATTAATTCAATTGGACCCCAACGTCGAGTCCGAGTTTGACTGAGGTTGTCAGAGCGAAACCTATCTCGAATGCAGAGTATCGAAGGTCAACTGGAGTGGAAGCCAAACGACGGGACCGAGAATCTATGATTGATCCAAATCCACTTTGAAGTTGACTTATTCGATTCAACTGCTTCCTAAATACTCGATTGAGAAGTCTTGCCCGATTTCTCGGAATCAGAGGAAGATCTCTCATTTGATGATCCTTAACGAGAAGGAGCAACTCTCGTCGGGTTTCCCGTTTACCCACAATGGAGGAGCCACCCCACACAAGGCAAGTCGAAAAAAAGGCAATCTTTTCAAAATAATTTCTTTTACAGTGGTTAAAATGAGGATCTTTTGACACCCGATTGGACCGGGACTTAGACGGCCTTGTATCAGGTGAAGAAGATAAGGGGTGGTAGGCTTAGTAGGACTCGAACCTACAAAATTCGAGTGGCTGAAGCTGGAGCAATTATTTTCGTGCCGTAAACAACTCACTATTGATTCAAACTCTATGGTGAAAGGATTGCGCACACAATCAATTCCATTGGCCTGATCAATTCCGATCCTTTCTTTTTCTATTGATTATTTTCCGATCAAGATGAAGAGAACGGGGTGTTGATTCTCAAGTGGAGGACAATGGGCTGTACATAAAATACATGCAAAATATTCTACAATATTACTTGTGCAAAATAACTTCAACTTGACAGCTAAGGAAATATAGGCTTTTGGTGGGCGCCAATAATTTGATTTAGATGTTGGGACAAGCCCCAGAAAAATTAATAAGAGTGATAGTTTTGACCCTGAATTTTTAACCTCTACCAAACACTTACAATTCAGTCGGCCCACCACTTTTATATTTTTAATTATCATTCTCACAACATAACAGAAAAGGCCGGTCCGGGAAGCACTAGATTCTTCTTCTGTTGTCTACACGTGACTTCTTGCTCATGGGTCCACCTTCAAGATGTTCACTGCTTGATTGAATCTAAAACACAAGAAAATAATAACCAATGTTTACATTACAATTGCTCATCATCTACAAAATAAACCATAACAAACAAATTATATCACCTTGTCCAGCTTTTCCCTGACGAGATGCACAGTTCGATTCATAGATTCAGATGCGAAGTGATCCTGTACACTCAACAAAAAAAAGTCACCCTTTTAGCCATAAATGACGGATGGAGCTGACATATTGGAGGTGGAGTGAGCACAGCAGCAATTGCTTGCTTTGTTAGATCCAACACCGCAGCCTATTAAACTACTTTTTCCATCACCTACATCTTCAAATTCTTCACCACATCATCAAGACCAATCTAGATTCGGATGCAAAACCACATCCTCAAACATTATACACCTTCACTTCTAACTGTGGGAGAGGAGGATCGAAGAATCTCTTGGTTGGAGATCTATGTTAATTACCGCTGAGCTATGCTCGCTTTCACGACAACATTCCACAATTAACCCACCAAAAACTATTGCTTCATCGAGACAAAATCTAGGCCCCTGCCCCAATTTCCACCCACCGGCCTAATACCAATTCTGTTACAAAATCACGTCATCTTCACTGTTGATCCATCAAGAAGCTATTCCTTCATATACACGGATATAAAAATCTGTGAGCTAACCCCACTACCTTCAAATATTCAAATCCAAATTCAATGAAAAGTCTCCAATGCATCATGCTCATTTCTCAAAGGTGTTGTTGGACCTTTATCTCCACCCCTCCTTGTCAGAGATCACCAAAATCTCATTTCCAATCCGTATATTCAGATGTGATTGAATTCAAGAAATTGAAAATGATTTTAGAGTAGTTTTGAAGAGGTAATCGAAATTGATGGAAATATCTCCAACAATGAATTTGAGGAAGAATCTAGACCTCGAGTATGAAAATTGATTTAGATATTGATGTAAGTGGCTCAATGATTCTTAGCAAGAGAAGAATGATGCTATTTGCTTTAAATATTTTGGTCACACAAATCTGACCCAAAATACAAAAGAGATATTTAAAGTCAAGATTATCCCAACTCATAGAACTATGCACTGATGAGAATCTTGAAGCACCAAAAATTGAAGACACTGTTATGGAAGAATTGGTGGCAATTATATTGTGTCTATCAACATATTAGTTGAATTCTTAAATGCCAAAATGGAGAGATGAAAATGCAAAAAGCTACACCTAATGGTGATAGTCAACCCTTTATACCTATACTCATGCCAGACAAGGCAGGTCATAAAGTCGATAGTTAATATTGTTACCCCACTGGCACAACTAAGTTGATAGCAAATAATTATAGCTAGGAATCTAACTAATTTGAATTAAGCAGTAAAAGGGCAAGGATTGAACGGTGAAAGAAAGAAAAAGGAAAATTATAATAGGTGGTAAAACTAGTTTCTATATTTACAAATTTCTCACATTAAAAAAAAATTGCAAATATGATAATTTTCTCTCATATAACTTATATATCTAATATGAAGTACATCATTAATAGACATATACCATTAATGTACAAGTTCTTACATTTGAACCATTTTTGCAAAATATTTTATCATACTACAAATTTGCAATTATTTAGGCTCACTTCGGTATTATAGCAAAAGCCCCAAGGAAAAATCTGGATAATGGATATGGTTGGGAGAGTCTATACTTCTCAAATGCCTGAGAATTTTTGGGCCCAATAAAAAATAAAGGAGAAACACTCTTCATAATTTTGTGTTCACACTTGAAACACAAGTATTGAAACTAAGTTCAAATTTCATCAAGTACAAGAGAAAACATGAACTAAAAGAACACATGAATAATTTCTCCTAGAATTGTTAATAACAACTATAACAAAAGGTGAAGGAAGGAAAACAACTATAATAAACAAACCTGATCGGAGGATACTTTTGTCATTTGAGAAACATGTGGGTTGGCAATGAGTGCTGCATCTCCATAATTCCTACCAGAGAAGGACAATCAAAACAAGATTGTCGAGTTTGAAGAAACTGCAAATTTTCATTTGCTTATACCTCTTTTCAAGAGAGTTCTTCTGTTCAAGGGTATAATGAGAATGTGCAGGATTTGTAAGCTTTGTGGTAGTTGATCTTACTGCAGATCCCTTTGATCTTCCAGCTGATATCAGAGTTATAACATGCTTAAAAGTGAACTAATTAGAAGGAAACACGATTTCCCTATTATAATGTTCATGTCTTGGATTTTTAAATGAATGCCTTGCACATATACTCAAAACAACATCTTCCTATTATATGCATACAAAATGCTGAAGCTACATTTCTCAAACACAAAAACTTACAATCCAATCGTGCTAAAACTTCTCGTCTCCTGACTTCAAGCTTCTCTTTTGTATCAAGCAAGCTTTCAAACTCAGGAGCATAAGAGACTTGCAGCCGATTACCAAGGAAAACAAACTCATCCAATTTTCTTTTTGCAAACCTAAAAAATAAATCATTATAGTTCAATTTCTTACAGTTGAATAAAGGGCATACATGATTAAGAAACTTTTGTCCTCGGGGGTCGGGGGGCTCTATAGCGCATGCTTTTGATCAAAAGAGAACCAAATTACCTGGCATTGGCGACCAAGTGAAATTTGACAAAATAAACATCCGTAAATTCATCACATTCTTCTGCATCCATTGGTTTACACCTGAAAGAGTATAAAATAAGATAAAAAGAAAAGGAAGCACAGCACGCTAAAGAAGAAGCATGTAAAGACGAGTCTGAAAGACAGAACAAAAGGCAAAAGAGAAGTACTCTTCGACGTTTCCGTATGAGGAAAACAATTTGAGCAAGTCATCGCCGCAACCCAATGCCGGAACATTCCTCACAATCAGAAACCTGTTGGATTTCACAAAGAACAAGTAAAGATGAGCTCCATAGATCTTCTATTCTGCAGAGGAGAAATAACAGAGGCGGAGCAGACCTTGACTCGTCGCAAATCGTATAGACGCGAACCGCAGGGTGCTCGTCTGTGTAGCGCGGCATCCCCTACAGCTACAAGTCGTCTTCCACAAATTCCAAGTTTTGAAGTATTTACAATTTTAAAAGTAGAAAATTTGTTTAGAAAAAAAAAATCAAGTTAAAATTCACCATTGTCACAAAAGCTACCGAGATAGAAAGACGGTGCAGCGACGATCGAGATTAAGAGAAAGTGAAGGATGAGATAGAGTGGTGAGATCGAAATATTAATACACTTTCAAGGTCTTATCTCTCTTCTCATAATTTTTTTTAGTACAACATGTGAAGGATAACTATGCTCGCTTGTACAATATGTGGAGGTGAGTTCACTTTGCAAAATAAACTAATGTTAGGCGCATTCAATTGAAATTGGGCCTCTCCTACCAATAATCTACGCAGCTAATGTCATCTCAAATTTCGTTGCTCCCACCTCTCTATCTTCAACGAATTTTCGAAGTTCCAACAATGGAGGTGAATAATCTTACCCTTTTTATTTTTTTTTTACAACAAATATTAAGTATTGAGATTTAAACTTCTTACCTCAATAAAAAATAAAGTAAAGAAAATATATCTTCAATTCCCACTCTCCATCCATTTATAACATAATTTCATAATAATTAAAATTTGAATGCTGCTATAACTTTTAAATAAGATTTAATAATTATGAAAAATATATACATATACATTTTCAGAATATATGAAAAATATATTATTACAAGTTAAATTATTACCTTAATGTCTTAAATTACTGTAAACCTATAGGACAATTGCGTTAACAAGTATTCATTTTTCTAGAAATTTTATAAAAGAATTTACCTTTTAACATTTCATTTGCTATCACCTACATTATAAACCAAGACCAAAGAGTTACAGATCATCCAAAGTCAAGGACCAAATAACAATAAATGATAGGAAGATTAAAATAAACTTAGGATTAAAAGTGAAGGACAAAATAACAAAACCATTGAAATAACACCCAACTTAAAAATGTAAAACGTCTGGAGCCAGTAGAATAATGGATATGATGAACTCATTAGTGTAAGCAAATCTCACGAACATGTTTGGCTTAAGCTAGGAACATCTTCTTTTACGCCATGGCCCAAAAATACAAGATCGGAATGAACCAATTTAAGCTGATAAAACACTCACACTCAGGGTCACTGAAACCTGAACCAATCTTCCAGCCCAAAAGAGACAGATGAGGAATCTTTGCTTTGTTACATGAATCAAATTATGATACCTCATCATCATATCTTTAATTTGGGCTCTTCCTAGTTCCTTGCAAGATGTAGTTGCAGGCGTTGGTAGTAGCAGATCTTTGCTTGATGTCATGAGTCTTGGGATAATGATTTCCCTGTAAACATATAGCTGAAACTGAAAGGAGTAACAAGTGTTAATATTGACTGCTCAAACTTTCAATACACAGCCTACATTTTAAGCACAGTCTTCCTGGAGACACGAGTCTTGTACGCTCAGTTTATCAAGTAGCAGCCACCTCTTTTGAGGTTGTTCTCTTTATTTTCAATTTTTAAATCTTAACATGATCCGCACAACTCTTTTTTGTAACACTTGAAAGGTAGGATATGCATGAAATGTGTGGATGTGCACGTGCCAGTGTATGAGTGGAAATTGTCCCCTGCATGAAAATTGGTGACTATTTATATATATATATTTTTTTAACAATGAAAACCAAGCTTTCATCGAGAAACAAAAAGGGCTAACAACACAGAGACAGAGCGACAAGATTAAGTTCGACCATTTGGCCACTTTCAATAAGTACGTGACGTGCATCAAATTAGCAGGAAACATAAAAGACTAACCTGCTCTGGCCTCTCATTTCCTTGTTTTATCAAGTACTTCAATATACTTTTTTGGAATCCCATATTGTTCAACCAGATGTCTTGCCAAGTCATCAATAACTCCACCTTGGACCAAAACCTCATACCCTTTTTTCCCTGAATTTGTTTTTCCAAAATCCATCAGAAGAATCAAGTATTCAAAAAGAGAACAATCAAAATCATCAAAGTCAATGTTTTGTTCGCTAGACAAAACATTGAAAATTGCGGCCTAATATAGTTTGCAAGACTTTTCCATCAAAAATTAAGAAAAAAGTTAAATACAAGGAAAAGAAGAAGAAAACCTTCATAGAACTCTATGTATTTCATAATATTTTCATTTCCAAATGATGAAATAGAAAATCTTGACATGCATGCAAACATGAAATTCAACTTTTAGGTAAATGTTAGGAGAAACAAAATATGACTGGGGCATGGCATAACATAATGTTATTTCATAAACTAATAAACCATGTAAAAATCAAAATATAGACTGCTAATATTACCAGGCAACTCTGCCACGGTCGTACTGCAAGCACACTTTTTCTGAAGCTCCGATGCCAATGCTTCAGCATCTAACAAGAATGTTTCCAACCCAGAAAGTCTCGTAACTTTTTTATTTCCTTGACGTCGCTCTGTCATTATCTGAATAGTTTTTAATGCACCTTTGCGAACGACAGACTCACTTCCTCTTGTCACAATATGATGGGGTTGCATCCGGCTGATGAATGTTGAACCTATATCCTTTTTGTGAATTTCTGTTGGGTATGTTGTTCCTTTTTTAATGGACCCCTTGAATAGTGCATCGCATAATATTGCGTCCAAGACAATTCTGGACTTTTCTGTTGGTTTATCCAATTTTTCTTTCTCAACGTATTTGAAGACAATATCAGTGGCCTCGGCTGCAGTGTAAAGTTTGCTCGTGTCAGCTCCCACAGCAGCAAAAATGGGATTGACATGAACACTTGGCTTGTATATCTCTGCTACTTCAAGCATTTTATTGGATGAACTTTCTCTTGGACCATGATTGCCACTCTGATCAATTTTCTCTACCTGTTGCTTTTCTGGTTTAAAGGATGTGTAATCTGGATGCTTGCGGTTAGCTGAGTACAAAACAGTCTCCTTTTTATGCTTGTCTTCTTTCACCGTAATCTGAAACACGTGAACATTATATTCAAGACCCAACAACCCAAGGAGCTTAACTGATAGCTGCTCAAAGCAGTACTAATATCAACCTTCGTGACAAATCAAGAGAAGTATTTGAACTAAATGAAGAATTGTATGTATGTCTATATATATATTGATGAGAAAACTGAGCTTTTATTGATAAATGAAAGAAAAACGAATCTACAAGAGGCATACAAAAAACCAAGTCCAACGTAACAGAACCAACCTATAAGAAGGAAAGGAACCCAATAAAAAAAAAATTAAAAAAACCTAATTAATAATTACAAAAAGCCTTTGATTACAAAGTCTTTGAAACCAACACCCACGTAGAGGTATTAAATCTAACAATCTCCCAAATTTCCTCCCAAGACCTCTCAATTATTAATTTATATTAAGACACGAGGTTAGAACTCAGAGTATGACAAACAAAATTACAATGCCTTTATAACAGGTAGTTTATATGGCAGAATGCAAAATGAAGTTTCAGATAGCACTGATTTTTTTGGTCAAGGGTTGGGAAGAGTGGGGATGTAGATAGGACTGCTTTTAAAAACCTCGCTTCTGTAGGAAAGGATATAAATTTAAAGTTCTTTCCACCATTTCCTCTCTCTCTTTCTCTCTCTTTTTAGGGATAAGAAACAAATTCTATTCACCACGGAACGGTAAACAAAAAGAGAAGAGACTAATATCAAATCCTAGTGACGAGGCTTCAGAAAGTTCTCCAATTTGTCATTCCATCATTTTTAACTTAGTTATCCATATTTTGCCCCCACGATGAGTAAAGCCAAGTCATAGGTATTCTCTTTCCAGTGATGGTGGGTGTCTATTCTAACTTACGTGCTACTTTACTAATCTTATAAGACACCACTTATAGTTTAACCTTGTAACATTTATCAATACAAAACTCATGAAAGTTTAATTTTTATGAGCATTCTCAAGTACCTGGCCACTAAGATTTGTATCCATAATCTAAAATACACCTGAATTCTACACTGAACTTCATGCATTACCTAATTCAGAAGTTCACTTACCAAAGTATTTTATAATTTCAAGTCCAATAGAAAGTCAGTAATTCATTTAGCAAAGAATAAGCTATTTATTCGTGGTTTTAAGTTCAATGAAAAATCAGTAGTTCATTTAAACACTGAGAAGCTGAATGGAAGTAGCATGAGGCATACCAGTCCAGTAGAGGATTTAGCTTGCAACCACTTTGACAATTTCTTGTAGGATGATTTCTTGATGTCTAGTGTCATGCCAGGAGGCCGACAAGGCAATACATGATTTGACCTACACCAGCCAAGAAGTGAAAGGAAAAAGAATTATTTGCTGGAGAATCAAATGACAGGTCTTCAAATTCACAATAGTAAGCATTCAAGCCAAGAGCTTTTCTAATGATTTCACTTTAGGCATTGGTAGATAGGCATTTTCATGACGTTCCATTGTTTTTTCCCCTACGGATTTGGGTTTTAAGTTGCATTATATGATTTATTTTCCCCTTTTCAAGTATGACGGCCAGTCTTCCATTTCAGTACAGTTTTTCTTATAATACTAAACATTTTTTTTCCTCAAATATTTTCAAACAAGAGAGTGCAATTTTATCGAAGATATACACTAAAGAATCAACTGCCAAAAAGATGAATCATTCACGGAAGCAGAAAACTCAGATATTTCTAGTGCAGCGAGTTATGAATTCAACACTTATAACAATGAAAGAATGGTTCCAAAGAGGACTACTACCCTGACCTCATGAAATTTTAAATACTACATATAACAATGAAAGAATTGTCAGATTGAAACAAATATCTCATTTCAAAAAATAAACATGAAATATCTTTAAAAACTTAAACCTTAGGCAAAAATTTAGCCTCCTATATCAGAATTTAAGAACACGTAAAAATTTCTCACCATAGAGTGCTTCCAGGAAGTGGAAAATCTTTGTCTTTCACTGTTGTATGCAGGGCTTGAAGAAGACATTTATCCAGAAGCGTATCCACATCTTCAGCTGACAGAGTATGCTGCACATTCGGTTCCCCAGTGGAAACATCATTCACAACCTTCAAATCATTCAAACCAGAAATGATTTCATCGGTAGTTGAATCTGTCTGTGCTGTCAGAACAGTTCCAGGCTCAGCAAGAACATCACTCGTAGGTTCATCAGTAGATTCCCCTTCTTTATTGTCGATATCGTTCTGTTTGTAATTTGAAGCACCATCAATACCTTCACAAGAGTCACCAGTTTGTGAAGATGAAGCCAAAAGAGGATCTCCGTATACGACATCTTCCAAAAAGCCTGCATTAGGCACATAGTGACCCTCTACCGATTCCCTGGAAAATACATTCACGAGAGAAAAATCATGTCATGCATCAAGAATTGATACACTCTGTTTCTAAGCCAATTTGATCAATCTCACCAAAGTGAATCCCTGTAGTAGTGTAGAATTCTCAAAGCCTTTCCACGTAAGCCCGCTTTGAATGCTTCAGCACTACTCATGGTGGTAACACCAACCTGCAAGAGATATTCAGGTTGAATAGAGTTCTAATTTACCTTCACGGCCAAAGTTAAACTTGCAGCCTAAGTGAAATTTTCAGTGTAACTTACAGCAATAGGAGCTGCATTGCCAGGGACGTTCACAGCCCATGGTTCCCCGGATAAAAATGAAGGTAGACCTTCAGTTGGGACATGAATACCAGGGAACATCAAGTCTGCTCCACCAAGCACAAACCGAGAAACCTCACCCCCCTTCAACACAAAGGCAGGCAACAACTCTGGTACCATCCATAGTGCAAAAACTACAATGGAATTGTGAGTGTGTGAAACACTATCATCCAGATCCAAAAGTAATCAAAATATAGTGAAGGAAAGCTTGTGTAATGCTCATAAAGATAAATAATGATGGTGAAGAATTGAATAGAAGCTTCCGGTGTGAAAGATAGACTATATAAAGGGATCAAATACCAGTGGGGAATATTTCAGCTCCTCGGCCATCAACGTCAAAAAACATGGGAAAGCCTCCTTCTACGCTATATATTTGGACACGATTTTGGAACTTGGAAACGGTAAGCTCAACCTACATATTATTTATGCATTGATAGAATGAAATACAGAGGGAAGATGATAAAAAACACGTCAAAAAAATTATTAAAGAAACAAAAGCTCTATGGTTGGCAATGACAGAATAAATATAATAGTTATGAAATAGCTTTAACAAAATATACTGAAACGCCAAGAAGACCATAATCTCCCGAAGATCCTCTTTACTCTTCTACTAAGTCTGCTGTCTTTTCTCTAGAAGAGAGCTATCGGGTGACTAATCCTTCTACCTCGACGAAATGTGCAGATATTGAATACATAAAAAAAACGATGTTTCGTAGATACCCATGCACAGTTCATCGCAATGCTAATGCCAAAGCAATCTTTTTAAAGAACATAAGAATACTATAGTTCCAGATTGATCTCTAAGAAGTAGACGCTATTGATTTTTCAGCGATAATTTCAACTAAAAACGAGAATAATAGAGGAACAGAGTAATTGGTAAGCTGTTGCCGTGATTAAATTATGACAGATAAAGTGGATAAATTAATAGCAATACCTTGGGAGGAAGCAAGACATCAATATCGGCATCGGACGCTCCGGCGAACCTTTCTTTTACAGTTCTCTTTAGCTTCTTCCTGTCTGCACCAGATAATCTCTGGTGTAACTTCGCTTCTGCTGCCTTCTTGAACATATTCTTCCTTAATCTTTACTCGCTGTAGCTGAAGGTGGACGATGATAGAACCGGGTGGGAGAGAGGACCGTCGCCGATGACACGATTCCGGCGATAGCAAACGAGTAATGTCTGAGAATGTTACCTTTCGACTGCGGGAGCAACCGTAAACTTTCGTCAAGGTTATCGGACTCTGAGATGGGACAATTCTGGAAAACAGCGATGAACGGTGTGATGTTAGTATATTACCGAGATGCATCATACGGTGATTTTTATTATTTTTCTCTCTCTACGTATGATTTTTTTCTTTTTTAAGTAAAAACTCCAACCATATCAATTTAGGGTCGGCAGTGAGAGTTTAATTTAAAATATAACTTATAATTATATTTATGTTACCTGTATAGTTAACGATAATTGAAATATAACTTCAATTAAAAAATTATAGATTCGATTCTCTATCATTTGTTGTACTAAGAGAAATGCTCATATGATTGAAATACTGACAAAATAAGAATTGTGTTATATAAAATTAAAATATGTTTTAATTTCCATAATAATAATAAGTACTAAAAAATTTTTTTTTGAAGCATACTAAAAAAACTTGAATACAAATAAACCTATGTTTTAACTTATCTATATATATATATATAGTATATATAAAAGGCAGGAGAAACTTTTTTTTACCGTTTTTACCCTTCATTTCTTATACTTTTGAATATTAAGTTGGAGGCAAACCGGTCATTTTACATGCAACTATTGAATTTCTTATAATTATTATGAATAAATGTTTATTTGATATGCCTCATTTTGTCTATTTTATTTTCGGTTGATTTTCTTTGATACTTTTGGTAAGAAGTTAATGTTTTTTTTAACTTCAAGTAAGATCGTGTTTAATATGCTAATAATAGTTGATTGCGGTT